ACTGAATACAGTATATACCTACAAGAGGAAGAAGAAAGTAAGCAAGGCAGAGAAGCAAGAGGCAGAAATGATTCATGGCAGCAGGACACACAGCTGTTCTTGCTGAAGACCTCCTACTGTCACAGCTCACCGTGAAAATCAGCACTGCAGAAGCCATTGGCACTGCTGTCCTACATTTTTGAGGAGAAATGGGGATCAAGTGAAACTGCAATCATACTTGGAAGGAGCCCTTAACTAAATTCCTGATGAAAAGGACACAGTTGCTCTGACAGAAAACTGATCTAAAGGAGCACATCTGTCAGGTTTGTTTCTATACTGCACTGTCACATTCCATAAAGGATTCAGGAGGAATGGAGTTACAATCTGTTATCTATAATAGGATGACGAGAGAAAAATACAGCACTTAAGTATATGGTTTTCAAGGGGATGGCATATGGCATTCTTCAGAATACTTTTTGTAATTCCATGTTCTGTTCCACTGAATGGCTCTTGCACTTTTTCTGTTTTGAACTAGACCCAACCATGAGTTCCACTGATGGGCTTCATCTCAGAGGAACAGCATTTTACAAGCAGGTGAGATACCTGTTAGCAGTTCATTTGTTCATTTTACATTCATTCTTTATTTTATACTAATAATCTACAGCCCAAATTCTATTCAAAAATTATATACTTACTATTAAAAATGTAAGGAGTCTCACAACAGTGTAGTCCATGGATTATAAAACATTAGTACCAGAATTATGAATCAAAGATGGTTTCTGGAATTCTGAGTTCCTGAGAAACCACCTCTCAATTTCAAATCTTGAACATATTCAGTACCTAAACTCCATCTCATTGAAACAAGTTAAGATTCCACCTAAAAAATCTCCTAAAAAATTCCCTGCACACTTAAAAAAAAAAGCAAAAAAAAAGCTATCTAGAGCTGCAGTCAGGAGCACTAAAACAAAGAGCCAAGAATGTCACTGAGTTCTTTGTTTCTTCTCAAAACAAGTCGTGGTTCACTTTAATCAGCTGTAAAGATAATTGCTGAAAGGGCAGAATTGATAAGTTGGTTTTCATACACTTATCTTCAGCATCAGCCTTAAACAATTTAGCTGAGGAAGTAATTTCAGGAGGAAAAGGGCAATAGTAAGCTGTTATAACTTCTGAAAATTAACTACTCTAGAGGGATGTCTGCATAACATTATACCAACACTTGCTTTTTTTCTTCCACTAAAATTAAGTGCATAGAGGAAATAATCCACATTATGAGAATACATATTTTAAAATAAATTCCAAACTGGTTAGTTCTCTTTGATGTTTCAGTAATTCACACTAAAGACGTAGGTAAGAAGGGAATGTAAAAACAAGTATTTCCCCAGTTCATCTTTTTGGCATGTTATGCAACTCATTTTCTGCAGTCTGACATTGTTTAACTTTCTGTTTGAATGCACAGAATTAAATCCAAGGAAAATAAAAAGCTATTTCACAAAAAGAAAAGTTACATAGATTAATTTAAATGCAAAAAAAAAAGGCTCATTCACACTACAACAGAGTAGCTTTCCTACAATTCAAACTTGGAACAAAGCAGACATAAAACTTCTGATGCTGAAAAAGGACACATTCTCTGGGTTTGCTTGGACAGGAAAGTGAGAGTGACCCATGCAGAGAATCATGGAGACAAAAGCTGTGACGCAGCCTACTCTTCTGTGAGCTGAAAACAGAGTTTTCCCAGAGAAGGCAGGTTTACAGCAATGTCTCAGGTACAGCTGTCAGCCTCTGGGCCACTGAGGGATGAGTGTGTAAAGTGCTTTTAAGACAACTGTGACTTTCCGTCCTAGTGAGCTATTGCAGATGCCTCGAGGGAATATCACAACAATGCAGGTCCTTTTAGCCCTGCTGAAGTAGTCAAAATTGATGTCTAAAAGCTGATCCTGACCTTGGTCTGAGATTTACAGAACAGCATCCAGTGAAAGAACAGGCTTAATCTCTCGACAAACAGGATTGTATTTTCAATGAGAGAGCTCAGCTCAATTAGTCCAGCTACGTATCTCTGTCTTGTCCTGGAAAACTTAAAGCACATCTGAACAAATTATCTTTAATTTAAGGTGAATTACAGTACAAAGAACTACATAACTCTCAAAAAAATCGATATATAAGATTCATAAAGATGCTTTCTCTCTTATTCCTAAAAGAAATTAAAATAAGCAATAGGTTATTTTGCTCACAAAACCATACTGAGAGATGGATGCCAGGCACAGAGAATGATTTGTATCACCAAGTAAAGACAGCCAGCTATCTCCAAAACTATCTTGATTTGTAAAGCTCCTGTGCTATCAATTCCTAACATTAACCCAGGAGAGTTTGTCAAGAATGAACCTGGATCTGCATAGGGCCAAAAAGCCTTCAAACTATTAATACCTAATCCAAAATATTAAAAAACCCTGCAGGCACAAGCAGAGCCAGTAGGATTGCACAGGGTTAAGGTACTCAAATATTTTTTTCACTGCTGAGTGAGTTCAGTTTGTCCAGCCTGGAGAAGAAAAGGCTTTCAGGGGACCTTAGAGCAGCTTCCAGTGCCTAGAGAGCCCCTGCAAGAAGGCTGGAGAGGGACTCTTAATCAAGGAGCATAGTGATAGATAAAATTGCTATTTTCTCCTTTGTTTTCCCCTTTTGACAGTCTTGCCTTGATTTTCCCTGGGGCTCTTGCTATGGAGCTGCATGTACCAGCCTGGCTCTTGACAGGTTTAGGGTCTGGCCAGTCCATGCCAGGGACCAAATGGAATCTGAAAGTCACAACATGGTGGCTGGTGCTTCCCCTTCTGTGGCTTCCTTGCCTTCACCAGCTCAGCAAATCTGGGTGTTCATGACAATGTCCTTGTTACAACACACTCATTTTCTTTCCACTTCCCCATTATGATGCTCTTATCTTCTTATCATTTCCCCATCTGAGGCCCATCTATGTGATCCCAGCATTGCTGAGTCCTCCCAGAAGCCAGGTATGATCTCCCTTCCCAGAAGACAGCCCCATCCCCTTTGATGACCCAAGTCCATGTGAAGAGCTGGGAGTGGGTGCTGTCAAAGCAGCAGGTGGGATATTCCTGTGCACCTCTCCCCCACAGAAATGAAGCATCAGGTCCCCAAGGAGGAAGGTGAGTGCAGAACATCCCCCTGAGCACCTGCCAGAGCAGATTTTAGCTGGTACCCAGCTGTGCAAGCAGAGGCCCCTGAACTGTGGAAGGTGCTCTGGTCTCTCCCTCATCCAGTTCCTGGCATTAACCCCACTGGTACCCCAGCACAGTTCTGTGGGAGACACTGGTGCACCTCCAGGAACTGTTCAGGCTGTGCCAGTGAGCTGACAGCAAGGTCACTGTGCCAGCAGGACAGGCTAAGTGTCCACCAGAATGGATTGGAGAGTTCCCAGAGCTGACACTCCATGGCCCCCAGCCCCACACCTCCAACAGTCCCTGGCACACACCCTCTTTTCCCCTCCTGCAGTACCAGGCCAGAAAGCTGAGCCAGACAAGGACCAATGAAGAGGGATTTTACAACTTTTCCCTGAAAACCAGCAGGAGCTGACACAGTTGGCACAGAAAGTGAGGTTAGGGGTTTTCATGCCCCTGGCAGTGCACAGGCCAACAACCCAGCAGGGACTCTCTGGTAGCCAGCTGCAAACCACCCACCCGACCCTCATTTACCCAAAGAGGTTCATTTTTGCAGAAATTAGGTATTTTGAGAGGGTACATGATTTTATCAATGGTCCCTGTGGCTAGTGGTTCTCACTAACCAGGAAGCCCACGAGCAGTGCTGGGCAAGGGGTAACCAGATAACCTGGTAACCCCAGGTGCTGCACCTGCCAGCTGGGGGGTACCTCAGACACACCACTACAGCAAAATTCTTGCTTGACAGGTAGGATACAATCAATTCCTAAAGACCCCAACAGTGCACACTCAGAAAGCAAGCTACAAAACTTGCTGCTTCCTCCTTCCTTTCCTGTGTCTGGCCTTGTTCTGCTTTTCCTCAGAACTCTGGTCAGCAAACTTCATGTCCCAGCCTGGCTCTCAGCCAACAGGTCATTGCAGCAATAGCAGGGCTCACGTCACGGGGACTTGGGCTCTGGCTATTCCCACCAAACACTCACATGGAATCTGAAAGTTGCAGATCTGTGGCCAGCGCTTCCCCTTCTGGGGTTTCTTTGATATCTCCAGCTTAGCAAAACTGGGAAATCCTGGCATAATTTTGCTGTCATGATGCACTCATTTTCTCTCCTTGAAACTCTGGGTGAATAGGAGGGAAGAAGCAGCAGGGACTGAGCACTGTGTAGAGGAAAACCCTGCAGCCCCCCCAGCTCCAGCCCTGCTTGTGTTCCCTCAGCTTCTGCAGCACCAAGAAGTCCACAGAAACTATAGGATCATTTACATTGGAAAAGACCTTTAAGAACATCAAGTCCAAACATTAATCCAGGGTACAAAGTCACCACTAAACTATGTCCCTAAGCACCACATGTCTTTTAAATGTCTTTAGGGATGGTTACTCCACCACTTCCCTGGGCAGCCTATTCCAGTGCTTGACAACCCTTTCAGAGAAGAACGTTTTCATAACATGCCCTGGTTCAATGTGAAGCCATTTCACCTAGTCCTTGTCACTTGTTACCTGGGAGAAGAGAGTAACCTCCACCTCACTACAGCCCTCCTTTCAAGAAGTTGCAGAGAGCAGTAAGGTTCCCCTCAGGGGGTCTCCTCTTCTACTGTCAAATAAACCCAGCGCCTTCAGCTGCTTCTCGTAAGACTTGTTCTCTCTTGAATCTGAAAATTGCAGCCCTGTGGCTGGCACTTCCCTTTCTGCAGTTTCTTTACACAATTTTCCTGGTATGATACACTCATTTTCTTTCTTGAAACCCTGTGCCCACCCAGTGGTGGTGGTGGTATAAAAGGAGGTAGCAGGGGCTACAGTGTAGGGGAGAGCCTTACAGACACCCCAGCCCAGGCCTCACTCGTGCCTGCCTCAGTCCTCCCAGCATCATGAGGGTCCTTGTAGCCGCCCTGGCTGTTCTGCTCCTTGTGGCCATCTGCTCCCTAGCTGAGGCTGATCTTGGAGTCTCCAGGAATGCTGCACTTTTCCAGAAGGACAGTAGGCTTTCCTTCCCCAAGAGAGAGCCCCATTCCCACTGATTAGACCCTCATGCCCATGGAGAAGGCTGGGAGCAGATAGTCATCACCTGTGCAGGGACTAAGCCTCAGAGACGGAGCTTTCCAGGGGATGATCCCAGAGCACTCAGCATGGGTGATGATGGCAAATCCCCTGGGAGCCACAGGCAGAGCCTCTGCCACAGTGTGGGGTCTCACTGGGTCCATCTCTCTGCCCCCACAGAAAGCAAACCCATCTCCTGCTGCTTCGCCCACATTACACGCCCCATTCCACCCCGGATAATCCGCTCTGCCTACAGGACCAGCAGCAGCTGCCAAATGCAAGCCGTGGTGTAAGTACCAAACATTGCCTGGGTGCAGGGTGCACCAGCCAGGGCAGCACCCCAAGGGTGTCTAAGGTTGTCCTGGATGGGAAAGGGCAGGGACAACCAGGGTGCTACCAGCGGGACCTAATGCTGGCATCCTGATGCCCTGGCTGAGTGCCTCAACACTGATTTTTTTCCCCAACAGCCTGGTCACCAGGGACGGGAGAGAGGTGTGTGCAGACCCCATGGCTCATTGGGTGCAGAAATACCTGAAGCACTTGGAGCTTCTGAAGCACTGACTCTCTGCTGCTTCCCCCGGGCAGTGGGCTCGGCCCCCAGCACAAGACATGCAATAAGAGTGCTTAAGCTGCATCTTTCTTCAAAGGGAAAATTTATTACAATTGGCCCCTCTCTATTTCTAAAATTTTTTAGTGTAGTTCAAAAACTCAGGCAATCAAATGCACAAGTTTGCACTCAAAACAAAACAAGCTGTGCACAAGTACACGCAAAACAAGAAGAAACCTGTTAGAGTTTATAGAGCATAGAAGTTGAATTTATCAGGAGAGAGCCTGAAAACTCAATCAGTATTTCAAAGATAGAACCACCTATTCCAAAATTACTTATGAATATATGTACACTACAATAATGAGACTAAAAGAAGCACCAAATCCTAAAACTGATGTGTAGAGCTGCAGAAGATTTGGGCAAGGCTGATGGGCTTCTTTCCGCATAATCTGTTTGCTGTACTTCCACGTGTACTTCAAAGCTTGTTTCAACTAGTGTTCAATGCAATGTATGGTGCAATGCTTTTGCCCACTTCTGCAATTCAGTCTTATAGCAACAGCTTCTAGATTAATAACATTGAAAATCTCCAATTTAGGAAAAGTGCGAAAGAGAAAACACAAGACTTATATTACTTACAAGGCAAATATGACAGTCTGGTAAAAATCCTCCCTGGGGCACTGTTTTCGCAAATCTCTTTATAGTTTAGGCAATCTATTTGTTCTTATATATACACCAACCCTGGATTAAATACTCTGCATTTTCACAGCATCGTGGAGGGTTTTTTTTTTCCTTAATACAGTTTGACTTAATTCCCTCCCAAAACCGCCTGTTGACCACTGCACTCTTTGGCTGGCTCCCTGAGGAGGACACAGTGAGGCAGGAGGCTGGCACCACCAGGACTGGCTCCCCGGCCCAAGAGCTGCACTGTGAGCACACACCACCGAGCCCAGAGCCATTCCCACACTTCACCCCTGGAGAACAACCCAACCTCCGTGTCCCTGCATGTGTCACAATCCTCCTGCCCGCACCACCATCCATCCCTCTGTGCTGTCCCTCTGTGCTGTCCCGGGTAGAGGTGTTCTTCTCTGCCACCACCAAGGGAGCACGGGGGAACCGGTGCCCACTCTTGCCTTCCGTCCTCCCCGAGCTGCCTTTTCCTTTTCTGTGTACCTTGGATATTGTTAAAATCTGAAAACTTTGTTTGATGAAAGTAGTGGTGTTCGAACTCACTGTGTCCCCTCGTTCTCGCACAGCTGACATCAACACCGACTGCTGGGGGGGAAACTACGCATAAAACGTGCCACGTTCGGCATAATTTGTAAAGCAAGAACCGAGGAGAACGGCACGAAGAGAAACAGCTCAAACATAACTCCCCTCACTCCCCAGAGCCCAAACCACCTCCGGATTTCCAGCCCTGGCCGGCCTGGCCTCCCCTCTCCCAGCACCGACCCTCCCTCCCCGGCCGGGGTGAGTACGCGGGGCCCGCACGGCATCTCGGGAGTTGTAGTTCCCCGCCCGGCTCGACATGGCGGCTATGCGGGCGCTGCCGGCCCTCGCTGCCGCGCTGCTCCTGGCTGCCGCCGGCCAGGCTAGCAAGTACTCCCGGGAGGCCAACGAGGGGCTGGCGGCCACCGGCGAAAAGCGGCGGGAGACCGGGGAGTTCCGGGTGGTGAGACTGAACCAGATCTGGGAGAAGGCGCAGCGGGTGAGCGGGGCGGTGCGGGGCGATGGCGGTGCTCCGAGGGGGGCCCGAGGTCGGGCCCGGCCGCTTCAGACACTCATTCCGCGTCTGGCAGACGGGGACGAGCGGGGAGTGTGAGGAGACACCGAGGCTGCCTGGCTCGGGGCTGCGGTGGCTTTTGTTCTGTTCTCGAGCACGGCTGTCCCGCCCGTGGCGCAGCGAGGGCTGCGCTCAGCCCCGCGCCCGGCGCTGTCCCGGCGGCGGGGAGCAGCCTTCTCCCGGGCCCGGGGACGTGTAGCTGAGTCCTGGGAAGTGCTGGCCTGCCCGTGTTTATATACAGCACCTAATCCACATGCCCAGGAGGTGGGAGAGAGGGGAAGCCCCTCTGGTGCCATAGAGGATCTTTGGCTGGCTCCAGCGCTCGCTGGTTGAATGCTTTAGCCGTGTTCAGGGCTGCGATACCCTCATGTGGGTGAGGACGCTGGCCTCGGTTTCAGAAGTTCACTGCAGGAGAAGCCCCTCCACCCTGGCGGTTCTGTCAACTACATTCCCATCAAGTGGTGTACACAAATGCAAGAGGACCAGCAGATGGGTATCACCATTCCCAGATGAGAGCCTTGATTTTGACACTGATGCTTGAGTTTCTCTAACACTGGACTACAAAAAATATTTAAAGTGAAAATAAAATCAAATTATTTCATTACAGTGGAAATATTTACTTAGAACTAAAAAGAACAGCTCCAACAGGAGAAGTATGTGCTGTACATATCCCCTGAATATTGCGGATCATGGGAATTAAGGTCATGACCAGCAATGATTCAGTTCTTTCAGGCAAAGAAATATAGTTAATATTAATTTTGGATCTTCTGTATCCTGAATAGCCTGAGCTGTTGAATTGGAGGTAGGGCATCCCTGGATTCAGCCAAAAACTAGAACTCTGCTATAGTGCTGCCTCCCAGTGTGCTAGAGGAAGGTATCAAAAGTACTCCTTTCCTCGATGGGAGAAGGATGGAATAGGGCATAGGAAAGCGTGTGTTAATGAAACTTCAGCTGTTGAACTGACAGCTGAAAAAGAAATAGCACTGGGACTAGAGATAATCTATAATAATAGTAATGTCAGTTACCTCTCACCTTTCCAATTAGTCTTTTCTCATGTTCATATCTGGCCCTTCTGGAATTAAAATTTGAGGTGCTTTTCATCATCTATGTTAAGATACTAAAATATAAAATGGATTAACTGCCAGTGAAAAACTAAGGCTTAGTAAATTCTATGTGTGTGAGATAGATTACAGAGATGCAAAACCTACTTGAACTAAATTTGCCACCATCTAAATTTCACTTTGAGTACAACTGTCAACCAGTATGTGTTTTATAAACTGATTTTTCAGTATGTCTGGGCAATATATGAAACAAGAGGAAAAGTGTGCCTGTGTGTTACATCTGCTTTGAAATACTTCCATAATAAATTTGTAGTAAAGAGCTCTTTCCTTTTGGAGGCAAGGGTGTAGGTAAGGATGTAGCAGGTAATGATTGCAGCCAGCCCAACAGCAAATGATGTAATTGTAATGTTTGACAAATTTCCAGCATTTATTCTCAGAATTGCCAGATACCTATGTTGGATGTTAATGTCCAGGCAGCATAAGGAATGAAGAATAAGGAATGAGTTTAAGGAGCTTGTTGCTTGGTTATTTAATCATTAAACTTAACTTTTCACTTCTGCTTCTAGTTAGTTATTCCAGCATGTGAGTGATGTTAGTAAAGTGATGGGGAGTTGACTGTTGATATTTTTTACCTGGTGTAGTCAGGGTCCAACATGGCATAAACTTAAAGGAAATAGTTTTTGAACTGAATACTTTAACTGATGTATTCACTCTGTATGACATAAATGGGGCAGGCAAGGAGCTTCCAAAAGGTTTCAAAGGATTTATAATGCTCACAAGGAGAGTTACTTCAGTTTCCTACTAAATTATAATGAGAATTAGAAAATTATTGCTCTAATTGGGAGACATTTGAATAGGATCTTGTTTTCTCTTAAGGAACAATGGGCTTAATGTAGTTTCTTAGTTTTTATTGCAACTTAAACGTGTTTTATTGATGATGTTGCTAAACTTCCTGGTTAGAAGTTCTGGTATTCTTTTCTATAACTTTTAGAAAACAGAAAGTTTTACATGTTTTTGGGTTTGCACTAACTGCAGAGGGCCTCTAACAGAAATTGTACTGTGTAGTCTTTTATACAGTAGTGGGTTTCTGATGACAAGGTCACATATAAAAATTTTACTGTATCTACAGTACTTATGAGCTAAATTACTTATCTAATTATGCCTGGCTATTTATTCCTGTATTTCCTCAGCCCAACTACATATGATGTCCACACTACTTGAATGCGATATTACATAACTACCAAAATGCTTGGCCATTCCCTTCACAATTTGTGGCAAACCTTTCGCTCAGTCTTGAAGCTTTAGAGCACGATTCTTGCTGAGGAAAAATGTTGATACTTGGTGCCACTGCAGTAGTGACCTTGGGCTGTCTAGGTAATCCTGTACCAGAAAAGCAAATAAATACGTGATTAAGGTTTTTCTTTTACTTTAGCACATACTAAGAACCATAAATAAAGTGGTTCCTTCTAAGTGCTTTGTTTCTATAAAGCAGTTCCCCAAAAGTAGATGGTAAAGAAGACAACAGAGACACTCCTTTGCTTTAGTATTAGAGAGATCAGAAGTTTTATTGTGTTTTATAAGTATTATATTTACCTGTGATTCTAACTACTCTAGGTTTTAGTAATTTAAGCCAAGTACAAAATGCAGAGAAAAAAATAGTTTAAAAATCAAAATAATTATATGCAGTGGCACAAGGTTAATTAATAGGACAGCTTATGATGGAAGCGTAAACAATGATGTGGATAGTTTCCTGAATTCCTGTCAATAGGAAGTGCATTAGCTCAAAGTAATGACACTTTTCCTAGTTACTTTGAAATAACCTGCTGACACACAAAGGAGCGGCTGAATCTTTTCAGTATCATTCTGATGTTTAAAAACAATACTGAGTTCTGAGTCTGTGTTCATTAAATATCCTTCCTCACTGAAAATGAGCATTTTTATAATCTGTTTAATGATTAAAAGAAACCTTCAATAGATTAACTTGTCCTAGGACTGACAAGCCTGGGTAGTTTCAGGCTGGATCTGAGCTCCCAGGAGCTGGAGGGGTTTTATCTCCTCTCTTCTCTGGGCTTCTCACCTCAACTTTTGTTTGTTGGCGTGCATGTAGACACAGACAAATGTAGTTCTGAGGTGTTAAGATGGTTTGTTACATTTCTTTGTTTTAAACTGAATA